AATTTAAAATCTGATTTTAAAATAAACATAATATGAAGCCAGGCGCGGTGGCTCATGCCTGTAATCCCAGCACTTTGGGAGGCCGAGGTGGGCAGATCACGAGGCCAGGAGATCGAGACCATCCTGGCTAACACGGTGAAACCCTGTCTCTACTAAAATATACAAAATATTAGCTGGGCGAGGTGGCGGGCACCTGTAGTTGCAGCTACTTGGGAGGCTGAGGCAGGAGAATGGCGTGCACCCAGGAGGCGGAGCTTGCAGTGAGTGGAGATCGTGCCACTGCACTCCAGCCTGGGTGACAGCGCGAGACATTTGTTTGTTCAGTTTTCTATTGATGGACATCTGGGTTGTTTCCACCTTTTGGCTATTATGAATCATAGCACCATGCACTGCTACACCCAGTGGCTGCTATGAACATTCAGGTATGAATGTTCAGACACCTTTTCATTTCTCTGGGACAGATACCTAGGAGTGGAATTGAGTCACTGGGTTGAGCATCTGATGATGTCATTGTTCTACAAAGACAGGTCAAACTCCCTACTATATTGAAACAGTTTATCTCTTCTTCCTTTCTTGCAAAGCACCCATCTTTGAATTCGAGAAAGTTCGTGTGATGGGACTACTACATACAGTGAGTGGCTGACACGCCACAGCAGCGCTCAGCAGGCTTCTGGGGCCGGGGATGTGGGGGAGGGCTAGAGGAAGGTACAGTCACAGCATCTCCATGTCGGTCTCCTCTCCTGCTAGGTACAAGTCCTTATGCCCAGACACCTGGCCGCACTGGCACGGGCCTCCAGCAGAGGGCGTGGAACGGCTGATCAACTACATCGGCTACAAACCTGAGGAATACAAGTTAGGCAAGTAAGTGACCAGAAGACCACCAAATGGTCTCTTCCCTTGACATCAAAGGGTTTGTGCATTGATCCGTATCCATCTAGAGCCTGGAGACTCAATTCCTAGGGATGTATGGAGATTTGCAAGATGTATGCCTCATCTACTCAATGTAAATGCAGCTCTTAATTATTTAGAAGAGCTATGGTGCTGCCGGTGGGAGGCAGTGAAGTTATAAAGGAACGCTCGGCACTAAACTGGCTCAGCAGATGGGCCTCCTTGCTGGCAAAACACAGGGAACCAGAGGGGCCACCTAACCTCTGTGTGCCTGGATTCTTTCACTGTTTCCATGTACGCGTGACCTGCCAGAGGAGCTGGGACCTAGACAATGTGAGATCATCTGTAGCATCTCAGAAATGGTGTGCTAGAACTCTTAACTGTGGAGTCTTAGTTGTCCATGAGCAGAGAACTTTCGTACGCATTGAAAGCTTTCAGGCACAACTCAAGGGACATGAATCGGGAAGATCTGAGGCCGCCTTGTTAGTCATTTTGGTCAGGGTTAATGTGGTTGCAGGGAAAGGTGCCCCAGCGTGAAGATGTATTCCCCGAGGCAGGGCTTCCCCGCTCCGGAGATCTCCGCCTGTGACCCTGTTCGTGGGCTTTCCCCGCCGACTCCGAACTCCCGCTTGTACATGGTCCTCTGGGCCGCCTAAGCCTCTCTCCATCTTTAGGCTCCTATCCTGGGCCTGTCCCAAGGATCACTTACTTATTCAATCCAGATCTCCAAGGGGATTCTGCCAGGCTCAGCACATCCTGAGGGAGGCAGGGCATGGAGGTCAGAGGTGGGATCCGTCTGTCCCCTGTTCCATAAATTGGAACAGGGACAAGGGAGAGTGGGATCATCAGGCACCACCCACTGCTGCCCCCAGTGGCTGCCCAGGGAATTTTCCCTCACCAGGCCGAGGGTGGGGCAGGCAACGTGAGGTCAATATTTGTAGCCTCTCTGCTGGCTAATGTGATCTTCTTTTTTTCTTCTTCTTTTTTTTTTTTTTTTTTTTGAGACAGAGTCTTGCTGTGTCACCCAGGCTGCAGTGGCGCAATCTCGGCTCACTGTAACCTCCGCCTCCCGGGGTCAAGCGATTCTCCTGCCTCAGCCTCTCAAGTAGCTGGGATTACAGGTGCACGCCACCATGCCGAGCTAATTTTTGTATTTTTAGTAGAGACGGGGTTTCACCACGTTGGTCAGTCTGGTCTCAAAATCCTGACCTCAGGTGATCCGCCTGCCTCAGCCTCCCAAAGTGCTGGGATTACAGGCGTGAGTCACCACGCCCCGGCATGATCTTCTTTTAAGCTTAGATCCACATTCTTTATCTGGCTAGGCATGGTGGCTGGTGCCTGTAATCCCAGCTACTCAGGAGTCTGAGGCATGAGAATCACTTGAACCTGGGAGATGGGGATTGCAGTGAGCCGAGACTGCACCACTGCACCCCAGCCTGGGCAACAAACTGAGACTCTGTTTCAAAACAAAAAACAAATAAAAAAACACCCATATTCTTTGTCATCACTCTTTAAAGCCCAGGAACATAACTTGAAGCAACTTCAGGTTAGGATGGTGTATTCATTTCCTAGGACTATGTCACAAATGATCACAAAGTGACTGATTTAAAACAAATCTGTTCTCTCCTAGCTGTGGAGGCCAGAAATCCAAAAATCAAGAGCTGGCAGGGTCACGTTCCTGCAGGAGCCTCTTCCAGCTCTGGTGGCTCCTGGCGTTGCTTAGCTGTAGCTGTGTCCCTCCAATCTCTGCCTCTGTGCTCACAGGGGCTCCTCTCTGTGTCTTTCTGTGTGTATAGGGACACTCTCAATGGATTTAGGGCCCACCCTATTACAGGATGATCTCATTTCTATCCTTACATCAGTCACATCTGCAAACACCCTATTTCCAAATAAGATCATATTCTGAGGTTCTGCGTGGACATGAATTTTTGAAGGGGGCACCGTTCAACCCACTAGATGGTAAACTGACCAATTAATTACAAAAACATTTCTTTTCACTTTTAGAACCAAAATATTCATTCGTTTCCCCAGAACTCTGTTTGCTACCGAAGATGCCTTGGAATTTTGTAAACATCAACTAGGTATGATTTCTTTTTCTGTCCTGATTTCAATAGAATATGAAATGAACAAGTAGAGCTTGGGGATACATCTTAAACATGGGTGTTTGATATAACGTTAGAAGCATTTACTTTGGAAACTAGGAACGAGATATGGGATTATGATAAAATCCCTGTGAATTTCTGTTTTCATGAGTGCTTGGAGGTCAGTCACAGATGCACGCAGATATATAAACGTTGTTCTGCCGTCTCAGTTCTCGTTTGGATCAGATCCTGTTGTTCACTACTAGGGTATAAAACCATGAGAGACCAGCCCCTTTAAATTAACGTTTCCAAAACGTCACTTGTCTGTGTGTCTGATGTTGGAAAGTGTAGCTTCAAAGCCTGCAGCCTGGGGGTTTGTTGGAAATGGTCAATGAGAAAAGTTAGATGGGGAAATGCAAAAAGTAAAAAATCAAAACTGCTGGGGGAGGGAGCGTCCCCTTTGAAACGTAACCGGTCTATCAAGAAGCACTCTTGAGTCATTTAAGGGCCTGCCATACGCCAGGTGAACACTAAGTCCTTTATACCACGGTCTCATTCTGTTCTGAGAACAGACCCATGAGGTAGGTGACATGGGTGTTACTGTCTTCACTTTCTATGCAAGGAAACTGAGGCACGGAGGTGTTGGTAACTTGTTGAAGGCTACACAGCGAGTAAGCAGCCGAGCTGGGGTTTGAACGTGGGTGTATCTGGCTTCAAGGCTTGGTGGTCTCATTTTCTGACCTCCGTAACAGTGGGCACCAATGGCTGGGGATGTGGCTGAAGGGCCACAGTTAGGCCAGCGGGGCCTGAGCCAGCATCTCTAACCGGCTCGCAGGGAACAGGACGTGGCTGCTCTGTAAGGCCCTTCATGAGCTTGGCCTCTGATAGGACCTAGATTGCTGTGTGGAGGGAGTGGATGCAGGATTGAGAGGCCGAGGGAGAGTGTTCTGTGGTCAGACCTGGGTTCGTGCTCCTCCTTAGCTGTGTTGCCCAGCAAGCATCTTCACCATCTGTCTGAACCTGCATGCCCATTTGTAAACTGTGCTGATGATGCCTGCCTTGTGGGCTGGGGTATGAGAATGAAACCCAATGCCTGGCATGGAACTGGGGGGCTCCTAGCACTAGGTCTGTTCCTTGCCCTGGGAAAAGGAAAGGCAGGAAGGAAACTCCAGTTCCCAGGCAGCATCTGGGAGCCAGGCGTCATGTAACCAGCCAGCTCTCAGGTCTGCAGTGCTGAAATGGCTTCCTGAAACATCACTACACACAGGCCTTTGATGCCCCCTTCCGTTATCCCCCAAACACCCCTGGAGGTCACAGCCACAAAGATGCACAAATACAAAGCCCTTTCACCAAAACATCTGTTTTATTTCAAGTTGCAAGAATCCAAGCCACATACAAAAGCTGCCTAGGAAGGAGAGAATATGTGAAAAAAAGACAAGCAGGTAAGAATTAGAAAGAAGCACATGAGTTTGCTCCCGTTCTCATCTGCTTGGCACCTGGGGGCACATCTGTGAGTTCTCTCCCCCTGCTCATCCTTAAAACCTTGGTGTGGGGTCCAATTCTGGGACCTCTTCTCCTTTTTCCTTACTGATTGGAGATTGTAACATAGTGGCCTGTATTTGTTCCACAGGCATGTTTTATTGGACCTACAATATGTGTACATTTAAAGAATAATTTTGTGGGCCAGGCGCCGTGGCTCATACCTATAATCCTAGCACTTTGGGAGGCTGAGGCAGGTGGATTACTTGAGCTCAAGGGTTCGAGACCAGCCTTGGCAACATAGTGAAACACTGTCTCTGCCAAAAAACAATCAAACAAAAAAACCCAAAAATTAGCTAGGCGTGGTGGTTAACAACTGTAGTCCCAGCTACTTGGAGGGTTGATGCAGGAGGATTGTTTGAGCCCAGGAGGCGGAGGTTGTAGTGAGCCACGATGGAACCACTGCACTCCAGCCTGGGTGACAAAGTGAGACCCTGTCTCAAAAAAAACAAAAGAATAATTTTTGAAAAAGGTTTCAAACATACAAGTACCCTTGAAGCCCTTCCTTTTTTTTGTCCCTCCCCAGTCATGTTCTCAAACAATACTCCCACCCATACGCATACATTTCTTGGGAGTAACCACTCTCTTGAATTTTGCATTAATCATTCTCTTGTTTTTCTTCAGTAGTTTCACTATCTACAGATGTATCTCTTAATAATCTGTTTATAATTTGGCGTGTTTTAAACTTAAGAAAACTATACTCTTGGTATTTTGGGTGACATTTTTGCACTCCAGATTGTTTCTGAAATTCAACCAGGAGATGTGTGTAGATTTAAGTTATTCATTTGCTCATAGCTACATAGTATTCCACTGTAGCAGAGGTCAGCATTATAGGAAGTATTTTAGACTTAGGGGTCTTATGATCTCTGTCACAGCTACTCAACTCTGCCATGGTAGCAGGAAAGTAGCTTTAGATAATATGTAAATGAATGGGCAGGGCCGTGTTGAAATAAAACTTTATTTACATAAACAAGCGGCGGGCTGTAGTGGGCCAGCCTCTGAGCTATGAGTATGCCACAACTTAACTGTTCTGTTGATGGATATTTGGGTTGATTCAAGTTGCTTGTTTTTGTAATAGAAACAATGCTGTTCTGAGGATTAAAAGAAAAGCGTTCAAAAAATCTGAATACTCAAAAATAAAAAAATCTGAAGAGCATTTAAAAATTGGGAAACAGGCCGGGCACGGTAGCTCACACCTGTAATTTCAGCACTTCGGGAGGCCAAGGTGGGTGGATCACCTGAGGTCAGGAGTTCGAGATCAGCCTGCCCAACATGGCGAAACCCCGTCTCTACTAAAAACACACAAAAAATAGCTGGGCGTGGTGGTGCACATCTGTAATCTCAGCTACTCAGGAGGCTGAGGTGGGAGAATCACTTGAACCTGAGTAGCGGAGGTCGCAGTGAACCAAGATCATATCACTGCACTCCAGCCTGGGCGACAGTGAGACTCCATCTCAAAAAGAAAAAAAAAAAATTGGGAAATAAGCCAGAACCTAAGTTTTATGTGCCCTAATTTGTGTACCCCAATTTTTTAATGTAGACAACTGAAAGTAAACCCCAGTGAGACTAAATATGGTGGGAAGACTGATCTGTACCATCACAAGTGCCATTGCTGTGGCTGAAAAAGACCCTGGGAAAATGACTCCCTCATGTAATTTCGGGGCTTCCCCGGAAATCTTCCATAGGCCCCTCTGCTCTGTCTCCCCCGGTTCAGTTGTTGCCTGAGTGCTCCCAGGTAAGAACTGATGACGTTCATCCGACCTTCCATCTCTGAGGCTAACAGAGTGTTGTGATGGGCGTCCAGATGTTTGTTGAATGGATAAAACCTTCTGGAAAAGCCTTCTGTATTTCCATACGATTGTGCTCACCTTCTAATGCCAGCAGTGAACTCTTTCAGCCATCAAACTGGAAGCCCACTGGCGTGGGGCTCTGGCTCGGAAGGCAATCCAAAGGAGAAAGTGGGCCGTGCGGATTATCAGAAAGTAAGTTTTCAGGTACAACAGACAGGACAGGTCACTAAACGCTGGTGCCCTGCAGGGGATGGTCATGGAGGTAGATGAGTTCTTTGTGATTTTTGGATTTGTGCAGAAAGGAAAAACTCCCTTCAGAATGCCATTAGGAATTCGGGCCCATCCCTTTGCTCTGAGCTGAATTTGATGGTGATCACAACTCAATGTATTTGGAATTTCTCTTAGCCTGGCTCAAAAGTCACAAAGTCAAATGCCTTCTGATGCCAGGCAGGTAAAGTGAGTGAATCTCATGAGCTGGGATAAGACAACAGGGCATGGTAGAGACTGCAGCAAACTGGAATGCTCAGTCCACCTCAAGGTGGGGCAGTAACTAGTCCATTCCAGTTGACTGCCGCTGTGGGGAAATGTAGCCAGATGGCTTGAATTTTCAAGGAACACTGAAATCTGGGTTTTGGAGTTTTGCTGTTGTTGTTGTTTGTTTTTTTGTTTGAGACAGAGTCTCACTCTGTCACCCAGGCTGGAGTACAGTGGTGCAATCTAGGCTCACTGCATCCTCCGCCTTCTGGGTTCAAGCGATTCTCCTGCCTCAGCCTTCCAAGTGGCTGAGATTACGGGCACACACCACCACACCTGGCTAAATTTTTTGTATTTTTAGTAGAGATGGGGTTTCACCATGTTGGTCAGGCTAGTCTCGAATTCTTGACCTCAAATGATCCGCCTGCCTCAGCCTCCCAAAGTGCTGGGATTACAGGCATGAGCCACGAGCCACCATGCCCAGCTAATTTTTGTATTTTTAGTAGCGATGGGGTTTCACCATGTTGGTCAGGCTAGTCTCGAATTCTTGACCTCAAATGATCCGCCTGCCTCAGCCTCCCAAAGTGCTGGGATTACAGGCATGAGCCACGAGCCACCATGCCCGGCCTTGAAATCTGGCCTTTTTGCACTATTTCCTAACTTTTTTTGATTGGCAACTAATTAAAGCTCCTCAAAACAAAACAAAAGGCCGTGTGGGTGAAACTGAACATATGTGTGGGGCAGATTTGGCCTGGGGCCTACATTCCAGGCTTCTGGCCTATGTGGTCATCTCAACAGCCTCTACCACTTTGGCCTCCTTTGAATCAAAGAAGGGGGAAGAGAATGTAAATCTCAGTGAAGAAATGGTCCAGAAAAGTAAGAAAACATTTTCCTTTTTAGGTTCATCAAGGGATTCATCAGTCGCAACAAACCCCTCTGTCCTGACAATGAGGAATTTATCGTGTTTGTGCGGAAGAATTACATCTTGAATCTCCGGTATCACCTTCCAAAGACTGTCCTGGACAAGAGCTGGCTGAGACCTCCTGGCATCTTGGAAAATGTAAGGACTAATATGGGATTTCCAGTGTTGTAAGTAACACGGGCACTGACGAAGCTTAACTCTCATATGTCTTTGTGCTGCCTCCTTTTGGCTTGAAAGGGCTGCCCTGGCAGAGCCCTTCTTCCCAAGGATGCTGCACAAGAAATTGAACTCCTTAGAACTCGTGATGTCCTTAATAACATTATAAAGCCACTGGAGGTTGTTTGAACAGAACACCTTTTTTTTTTTTTTTTTTTGAGATGGAGTCTTGCTCTGTCACCCAGGCTAGAGCACAGTGGCACAATCTTGGCTCACTGCAACCTCCACCTCCCAGGTTCAAGTGATTCTCATGGGTCAGCCCCCTGAGTAGCTGGGATTACAGGCACCCGCCACTACGCCTAGCTAATCTTTGTATTTTTAGTAGAGACGGGGTTTTGCCATGTTGGCCAGGCTGGTCTCGAACTCCTGACCCCAAGTGATCCATCCGCCTCAGTCTCCCAAAGTGCTGGGATTACAGGTGTAAGCCACCATGCTCGGCCGACAGAGCACTTTCAAATGGTTTCTATTCTTGACGTAGCCTACTTAGAACAGCATCTCTCAAGAGATGGTCTGAGGACCCTCTGTGTCTGGAACTTAGAGGTGGGGCTGTTCTAAGATTCCTGGGCTCTACTTTGGACCCACTGAGTCAAAATCTCCAGGAATCTCATTATAGCCAGTTCTGCAGGAAAGTCATAAACATATTCAAGTTTGAGAATCATTAGTTAAGCAACAGCAAAAAGTTGGGAGAGGATCCAGTTAGCTGCTCTGACTATAAAATATAAAATATTAACACTGTGCTTGAAATCAAACTGAATCCAGCAGTGTTTTTTTAAAAGCTTCATTTTGATTGCCACAGCCCCAGACAGGGAGTGAGTGAGGCAAGTGGAAAGAAGTATGTTCTCCACACAGGCATCAGATCTGCTCAGGAAAATGTGCGTGAGGAACCTGGTGCAGAAGTACTGCCGGGGGATCACAGCTGAGCGGAAAGCAATGGTAGGGACATGATGTCTGCGGTGGCAGGTGGTGGAGGGGGTGAGAGTGGGTCCTGAGTGTCAGTCCTCCTCATCCACCATTTCACCTATAAGCAGGGGGTCATGCTGGTCCCATGCCTTGAAATGTTCGATAATTGCAGGTAGACCAGCAGAGAGCCCTGGATGAATGCCAGCTGTTACTGTAGTCAGCACGGCTCCCTTTGTTACTATAGGAAAACGATCGCAGTGGCTCCTGCCATTCATCCACGGGAGCAGAGAACGTAGACCCCTTTCTGCTGGAGATCTGTTTTTCACCGTGCTAACCTGTGGGTCTTTTGCGTAAAGGGTACTATTTCAGGGTTTGTGGCCTTTCTCTGTTGGAATTACTCAACTCTGCTGCTATGGTGAGAAAGCAGCCATGGACGATGTGTGCATGAATGGCATGGCTCTGTCCCAATAGAACGTTACTTACAAAAATGGACAGCAGGCTGAGTTTGGCCCGCAGGCTCTGGTTTCCCAATCCCTGATCTACAAGAAACTGCTCTGGGAACTCTGAAAAATCTACTTTCAGGAAGGTAGTAAGAGAACAAGCAGAAATGTCAACCCAGTCTCTACCAATATGACTTTTAGGGCATTTTGGCCAAAGCCAGGAAGGTGTTCTGACTTGTATGCTCCAGGGTAACAAGGCTCCCACAGTTTATCCAGCAAAGGATGTGACATCAATGGGTCTAGAGCTCCTCTATCCCAAAGAAGCCTGTGGCTACCATTTTTATACTTTCAATTGTGTATTACCAGATGCAGCAAAAGGTAGTTACAAGTGAAATCTTCAGGGGAAGGAAAGACGGCTACACAGAAAGTTTAAATCAACCCTTTGCCAACAGTCGGATAAGTAAGTACGTTTTCCAGCCTATGTATTTGGCTTTCCAATTCTAAAAGGAGTCAAAGGGTGGGGTGCGGTGGCTCATGCCTGTAATCTCAGCACTTTGGGAGGCCGAGGTGGGCAGATTGCCTGAGCTCAGGAGTTCGAGACCAGCCTGGCCAACATGGCGAAACCCCATCTCAACTAAAATACAAAAATTAGGAGGGTGTGGTGGCATGCACCTGTAGTCCCAACTACTCAGGAGGCTGAGGCAGGAGAATTGCTTGAACCCAGGAGGCGGAGGATGCAGTGAGCTGAGATCATGCCACTGTACTCCAGCCTGAGAGACAAAGCGAGACTCTGTCTCCAAAAAAATAATAAGTCAAAGGAAGATGCTCAACTCTGCAGCATTTCCTGATGACTATTTCCCCAGCTGAGATCTTGGCACAGAGGTGCATAACAAAGCTAGCAGATACCAGTGACTTTCCCGCAGGATTGGTATTTTAGTGATGATTCATGGCCTTCTGGTTCCCTCTCTAGATGAAGGAGACATTAATCCCAAAGTGCTTCAGCTAATTAGCCATGAGAAGATCCAGGTAAGGCAATGTGTGTCCTCAGTCTCAAACAGGATTCCCTCATCGAGTCTAAGAGCAGGGTCAGCTTTCTCCATAAAGGGCGCACTATTTAAATGCAGGGGTGCAGCTGGGCAGCCGGGGCTCTCAACTGTGAGGCTTTGGGTATTAACTAAGATGATGGGGAACAAATGATGATTAGATCATGGCTGCTGTTCTCATGATCCCCCCGTCACCCTACAAACTGTCTTGGTTTGCTTTCCTACACAATTGAGTGAAGTGTAGCCATGAACTTAATCATGAAACACCCCCGTATTGGTGAGAGGCAGTGTGCCACAGTGCCTGGGCGCTCACGCTGGCTTTGAACGTAGCAGCCGTGAGATCCTGGGCAGGTCACTTAAGCTCTTGGTGCCTCTGATCTTCTGTGAATGAGGATAATGGGGTTACTGAGAGGATGAATGAGTCGGTGGGTGGGAGGTGCTCAGGATGCTGCCTGGCACACAGCAGCAGGTGCAGCTCTGGTGATCATGTGTGCCAGTGTCTGCTCTGCCCCACTTTTTTTTTTTTTTGGTTCCCTGGGGAATAGAAGCCACTGTGCCTGGATTGGATTACACTGTGGCTGTGAAAGTTTTCATCTCTGACCATCAGAGCAGACCTGCAAGGCAGGTAGCCATAGCCTTGACTTCCTCAGAGGGCAATGCAGCTAGGCAGAGCTAGGAATCAAAATCCCCACCATGCAGACAGCCAGAAAAAAA